ATCTTGCGACAGAGGTTGTACGTGACTGTGGACGCCAGGCCCAGGACGCCCCTTCCCAACCTTTCCTGGTTGGGCGGTTAAAATCCCGTCCGTGGTTCTTCTGCCCCGAGGACTTGTTAGCGATGGGAAGCCAGACGCAGGTCACAAACCCGCCCGCCTGTCCCGGTACACGCCCGTGAGGGTACCCCCCAGTTGCCGACCCGGCGTTTGCTGCAGGGAGCCCGTTTCACACAACAGGTCGTGGCAGGAGCTCGGCTATCGGAGCCGGCAGAGCTCGGCGCGCCATGTCTCTCCCCGTTCCCCACGGAGGGCGGCTGAGGGCCGAGGAAAGGCTGCGCCGGGCTGGGAGCAGCCCTTAGGAAGCCCCCGTGTGCCGCACCTTGGCCAGGCTCCCCTGCTCGACTGTGGGCAAATTGCTTAACATCTCCTTTTCCCGTTCCTCTGAAATTCCTCATCTCCTGGGGCTGCCGTGAGCGTAGATCACCGAGACCTAAAGGGCAGAGGTATCGGAGAAAGGCTTTGGACGGGGTGAGGGTGAGAGAGGAAATAAACCGCTCCGCTGAGAGCCAAATTTGTAACGTGCGTGAGAGCAGAGCCTGGCCTCAACGAACACCACAGCTAAAAATAAAAGATCGAGCAGGTCTCATTTCGGTGAGCGCTAACCACTTCCAGACAGAGGAGACGAGGGCCTTCAGGAGGGAACCGTGACCACCTAACAGAGAGAGCTTTGTGATTCCCAGGCTCAGGGGAGCTCGCTGGAAAAGCTACGCGTGCAATTCACTTGTGCTTGCAACTTGTCCTCGGGACTACGCCGATCCGCGTTGTTGCTTTGGAGGTTTGCATCTAAGAAACACTTGCACGCAGTGGGGTTTGTGCGGTGCTGGATGTTACGGATTAGGTACAACAAAGCCAGCGTGAGCCTTTGCATCACTCCGGCACCCTTCCGCGGGCTGCATTTCCACCTGGAACCAACCCCAGCCCCTCCTCGAGATTCCCTGTGCTGCGGCCAAAACCAAAATGACTTCTGAGCCCATTTCAAACGCTTCTCTCCTACTGCTGCGTTCATTGCTACCTCCGGCTGACCCCACGGCGCTCCTGAGCGTTGCTCTGCCATGACACCGTACCAGAGCTCTTGTACCTGCTGTGAAATGCCCGAGTCCTCGTCCCGTACCAGAGCTCTTGTACCTGCTGTGAAACGCCCGAGTCTTCCTCCTCCCTCACCTTGCGCTGCGTCACCCTCCTGCCTTGGGTCCACTTTGACGGGTTAGCCATGAAGCGCGTTCCCACAGGGGAGGCTTGGGGACTGCAGGGGCTCTGGTACAGATCCTCCCCTCTGCTTTGGGCTCATTTCGATTATCCGGCAGTTGGCACCTACTGTCTTCAGTCACTGCCCTGGCAGCACGCTGGGGGTGGCAGAGATCAGCCCGTTCCCCATTTTAAGTTCCCGGCCACGGAGAGGAAGCGCAGGGAAGGACACGGCGCCGCTGCGCAGCAACCTGCGTGCTCTGCCGTGCTCCCCCAGCTACCAGCTCCCTACAGCGGCTGCTAGATCTTCACTGCACTGAGAAAACCACAGGCTGTAATTCGCTTTGGAAGAAGGACCTGGTGCACACCCAGATCACCTTGTAAGCCATTAACCGCCTTCACTTACTGCTGTACGCTGCCACTGACCTGAAGGACCGTTACGCTGCTACAGCTGTGGACGTGTACCACTGCTGGCTTCATACAGAGTGACTGACGGGGTTGCTGTCCCCAGCGGGGTTACTCTTTGTTAAGTGCTGTACCCCCGGCAGGGGGGCTCCTCTTCCTCAGTCCACTGCTGCGGTTAGACCCTCACCCCTTCGCTCTAAAGCGTCCAGGTGGAAGACCAGAGCAGGGAGCGCTTACATACGTGCTGTGGGCAGATCTCTGGCCTGGTGGGACAGCGATGAGCGACCGAGGTGAACCTCAGCTGGAGTGTCTGCGGCAAGGAGAAACGCGCCGACAGCCTGCTGCGGTAGCAGCGTTGGGAAGAGTCAGGACAGCCAGCGGCAGAGAGCGGAGCGCCAAAGAAAAGAAGAGCAGAGAACCAAGTTGTTGCAGCTCAATGTTCAGATTTAAACGGTCTTCCCCTCCAGAATTCAGTAAGGGGGAAGGTCTTAGCCACCCCCTCCGGTCATAAAGATCCTGCACCAACCTCCAGTGCGTTCTGGCCTTACAAGTTCTCGTGTTTCTAGGATGCTGTTCCTTATCGCCAGTACCTCCCCCATCGAAACACAGACAAGGACCTGAACAAGCAGATGCCCGTCCAGCCTTCAGAGACGCTGAATTTCCTATCAACGAAGGAGACTGGGGCAAAGCCCCCATGACTGTAGGGGCCGTAGACCAAGCCCAGCCCCTCCTCGTGCTTGACTTCAGCTTTGCCCTTCCCTTCTCTCCCTAGTGAAATACCTGCTCTTATCTACAAGAATTGCTCCATCAAGCTGGGATTATCAGATCTAAATCTATCCCTCGCTCTGTGCCCTCAACATACTTCAGGTTGTACTTAAAAATATTCCAGCATTTGCTTCCCATCAGGTTTATTTTTCCCCCACTCTTCCCCAGGAGCGGGAACCCGAGCGAGCCGCAGCCCAAGAGCCACACCACCTCTCTGTGCTCCAAACAGGACTCGGCTTATCCAAATCCAGAAGCGGTGCCGACGTTTTCAGAACGGACGCTACTTAAAGGTATTAGCGAGATTGAGCGCAGTTATCTCAACCTTGGGTGTCAGGCTTCGCTGATCCTAGCGGGCACCAGCCAAGTGGAACCATCCTTCAATCCAAGCAGTTTTACCAGCTTTTATTAGAAACACCAGCACATTTCAAGTTTCCTCTTTTTGATCACAAATATAGTATTTTTCCTCTTTTTAAGTACACAGCATGAGACACAGCATCAGGGCTTTCCATCCTTTTTTTTTTTTTTTTTTTTTAAAACAGCAATTGCTTTTGGACAAGCTTTGGGTTAGTGTTCGCTGACCTCACCCCAGCCCCAAATTCTGACATCTTGAATTGCTGAAGACAGTTGCGTGGGCAGATGAATCCAATGGTGGTGAAAAAGATACAATAGTTAAAAGTTTGCAAGAAAAGTTTAAGCAGAGACCCTCTACAGTTAAAAAGAATGAAGTAGTGCCGCGGCGCGCTACTATTTTCACAGTATGGGGATAAAAGTTGAGATAAATCGTTTGCTCTTCTCCCCCCGTCCTCCCCCAACATCGTTCCGATAAAAAGGTTAAGGCTGGAGGAAGCGCTAACTGAATGTGAAAAGCCGAGCGTGCCCGGTGCTCCCCGCTGGAGCGGCGGCAGCTGCCGGGCAGGATACCTCGCTGGGTTTGCTGCAAATCCCATGCCAGTCGCACGTTAATCGAGAAGCCTCGAGGTCTGAGTGATGGCATTTTAGGCTAGTCGCGGTTTTAGCTCACACCTACGCTGGGAAAGTTTCCCCGGACTTTTTAACTCCACGAAAGTAATTGGCTGGGGGGAGGAGGGGCAAGTATCCCAGGAACATGAGGGCATGGTGACAGGATATTAAAGGGAACATGTACATGATTTGTTATTTTTTATTCCACAGAAAACCCTCAAATCTAGACTCAGAGTTAACAGCAGAAAAATAGTGTTAAAGTCAATAGGTTCATATTTTACTGTAGACTAAATAAATTAGCCTAGAATTAACTCAATACTCTCTATTTTCCTTTCATTGGTGATCCTTCCCTAAATTAATGCAGTTTTTAAAAAGCAACGGCTATTAATAATTTATTCCAGTTAACCCTTATGGATGAACACCTGCAAATATTCCATGTACGGGAACCATTCCCCTCTCCTCTCCCTCCCCGAAAAGGAAACAATCGCTAAAGGGTGTTGTAAAACAGACATGCTACCTACAATACGCCATGTATCGTGCCACTCCTATCGATGCCTCTGGCTGCTCTGTGTAATGAGTGAATATTCATAGCCATGTCTTACAAAGAACATGATCAAAAAATATATAAATAAATAAAAACCTTAAACATTCTTACATGGATTTTAAAGAACAGAATACATGTTAAAAACTTCAGTAATTTATATCAATTTTAAGCAATACTTTATATACAATGGAAAAAAGACATGCATAGTCCAAATACAATGTTGAAAACAGCATTTTCATAACAAAAAAACCCAAACACTAAGTGTTAATACCATGTACATGAATTCAAGAAGGACCACCCTTTTTGTCTGTTGCACACAGTTTATTTAACAATATGATATTATAAGTAAGAAATGAGTTTGTTTTTTTTTTTTACCATTCTATACAGTGATTGAATCTTCTTGGATTTTCTTATTTATAGTAATTATAGCGCTTGCATGATTTACACTAGAATTGCTTTTCCTCATTTCAAGTTTCACACAGAAGAAAGAAAGAAAAGAATGCTTCTTCTCTATTCAAATCAGCACGGTCTAAGAGTGATCATCCCTATTTTCATCTAAAACCAGTTTTATCAGAGAAACAAAGCAACAATTTCTACATCTGCAAGACAAGGATTTTGGCGTTGGCCAATGTGTGGTTTTGTGTGCAAGAGTCAATTCCTATCTTTCCAGGGGTAATACTTCAAACGCCTGCAGAGTTCACTATAGAAAAAAAATCTTCCCGCAACGTGTCAAAGTTACCGGGATACATTATAATGTTGCATTATTTCAGGAAACAGTTTCTGAATATTATTTTTTCTTCTTTTAAACGCAAATGTTTAAAGTCTTGAAAATACAAATAAAAAATATGAATATAATGAACTTGTTTTCCCCCGTTAAAAAAAAGGTATGAGTCAACAGCAACAAAAAAATAAAAACCA